TGCTGAGGTAAACGTGCCCTTCAGGGTTGCCCTCAGCCAAGTACCTCCTACTGACATCACAAAAAGGCCCCGCCCACCTGATGTTCTGGTCCACTTATGGGCATATCACCTGACAAGACAAGTTAACATAGTGCTGAGCATTAACAACATCTGATTGGCTGTGTTTTAGGAATGACATTGATGAGAATGATCAGTTGCCCACATTAATCTGCTTTACAGTGTAAACCCATCCATATCAAAGTGTCATGATAGCCTTATTATTAAGGCTAATTATTCAGGAGCTGCATACTACAATACAAACTGGCTGTTTAATTAGTTATTTTTAGGTCATACAGACGGGTAATAAATGTTGGACCTACCGGAAGGTCCTGGCCATTTAAGGGGTTATGGTAGGATAAACAATAATATTACAAACAAATCAAATTATACCACTAATCAGTTTGGATTAAGTAGGGATGGCCAGTGTGACTTTATTTATTATATCGCTGTTGTCGGAAGAAAACCTTGTATCTCCAAAATGTTAACTTTACAGGAAAAGGAAAAAACCTACTTTACTTTTAATGTAAGTCAGTGGAATCAGACTTTTTTCCAAGTCATTTTGGATCGTTTCTTTTGGTCCATTCATCATGAAATTGACACACATTGTAAAGGGCAACATGGATTTTCAAATTATGTCAAAAACTGAATAACAACAAAAATGGAGATACAAAGTTTCTTCCGACAGCAGCAATATATTAATTAATTATATCACAACATGCCACAATATCATGGATATCATCAGTTCTTTAAGAACACTGACTAACCGCATGTTTCATTGCTGAATGTGTGTAAATAGTCCTATTGATAGTATTTTTAGAAATGTGTCTCCAATGGGGCTTTTTTGCCTCACGGTCATATCCTCCACTCCTAGGTTTAGGTGGTTCTTGATACTTGCATTGACTCTGGTGTTGTTGTGAGAGTTACAGTAAAACTGTTGCATTATGTAACAGCCATCTGGCACCACCAAATTAGGATGAACAGGGTGACACAGGCCACGCACCAAAAGTAAAGGATTTTGATTCATAATCTGTCTTTAGCTGTGGCGAGTCAGGTAGAGATGCTGGTGTATGTGACCTCTAATGACGTTCTCCTAAGAGAGTGTTATTTAACCAGAGGGAGGAAGGGATAGTTTGGTGAGAAACTGGCACAATTTTCCCCTTTCACTCACAGATGTAGTCGATCGGCCGAGGCAGTTTTGGAGTCCAGGTTTTTCCTTCTTAGCTTACAACTGGAGCGGTGAGGCTAACATTGCTAACAAACACTAGAAATAAATCGTCACACAAATAGTCCAAATTCTTCCTGTAAAAATACTTCACCAAAACTTCTTTCAACCCACTCAAACTGCATCCAAGTCTTCAGTGTGGAGCAGAAGTGCTGATCTAGAATCAGTATTTGTGGCAATGTCATAAACACATAGAAATCTGATCCAAGGTCAGTACTGCTTTATTAATACCAGCCCTAGTGTTGTCTAAAATGGGAAGTTTTGCATTTATGGTTCACAGTAAGTCATACTGTGCTCTCCAACCACAGTCTGCGCAACTTTAATGAAGACCTGGCTGCAGTTTGAGTGGGTTGAGAAAGGTTTAAGGGATGTATGTTTACTGAAACAGTTTGTGCTTTTTGGGTGACTATTGAGTTCTAGTGTTTGTTAGCAGCGCTAGCCTCGTAGCTCCAGTTTGTTGTCCTTTGTACTTTATTAAGACCAGTAAGACTAAGTATTCATTATAAATCTGAAAGGCCAGGAGATTTTTCACTTTTTCTTTTGCCCATCAGTTGAGTTGCTGTACATTTTAACTTTATTGTTCATTTAATTTTGAAATCTTACATTTCCTTTACTGCAGTGGTTCTTAGAGTGGTTCTTAGAGTGGTTTCCACTGAGCACAAAAGAGAAAATGAAATCAATATTGGGCAAATGGTTTGGCTACAGAGTCCTTTTTTGTAGGATTTGTTCGAATAGGGTTACTCGTTTTTGTAGATTTTGCATGTTTTCATTAAAAATTAGTCCTGTTTATGACTTTTTGATAATTTCACATGAAGTGCTAAAATATATGTATGGATGGAAAGCCACAGATGTATGGATCATTCTACCAAATTGGTTCAAAGTCAGAGTTGAAAACACATTTTAGATTTTTAACTGACTTGGATTTGGATCTGTTATTAGTGACCCTACACCTTAATTATGTTTATGATATTAAAACAAATTATGGAACGTTCCATTCTGTCAGTACCAAAACAATCATAGCACTTCTGAAACTCTACCAAATTTTAGTTTAGCAGAACTCAAAAATGCTAGCCAGTGCATCACTAGCAAGCACAGCTTTGTGTAGCTGTACACACATAAAATAATATTTTTTATAATATTTTAATGTTTTTCACTAAAACAGAAAAAGTACTTAATTGCACAAAATATGCATTTCAGTAGTGATAATTCTATGTGACTTTGGGACACATATACTTTTTAAAAAAAATTGGATCTAGCTGCTCACCATGTGACCATGAGGGGCAGAGGGATGCAGTCTCACTTCCTGCTTTAAAATGCAGGGGCGTGGCTAAAATTAGGCTCCGCCCATGGACTAGGACTGTGTTTAGGTAGTGACATGAATACACGGAACAGTATCATTTTAAAAAGTTTTTTTAATTTGACAATTGAACTCATGAATGAAAATATTTCAAGTTCACTTTAAAGTTAAAAGATCTTTGAAAAAAATTAAGCAAATTGAAATTTAGGGGTTAGGATTTTGGATAGCCCCCTCCCAATATAAAGCATCCTATAAATGATGATTTTTAGTATATATTTGACTTATTGCCATCTCAAATCATGCTTTTGGTTTAAATAGATCTTCACATAATCCTTGTAAATATTTAAGGTTTTCAAAAAAGCTTTTTACTGTGAGATTCAAGTTTGAATTAATTCAGTAGGATGGTCCATGTAGGTGTACAGTTATAGACTGTAGCCCACCTATTGCTGAATACTTGATCATTCCACTCTACCCGATTCATAATTGGTCAGTTGTTCAGATATTATTTGAGTGGTGGTTCATTCTCAGTACAGCAGTGACCCTGAGAGTGAGACATCTCTAGTATTAGCTGACATTGCGGTACTATATGAGTATTATTTCACCTAATATTACCTGACGTTGTGGAATAATTCTAGTATTCAATGACATATCATCTAATTTGCAAACCATTTCAGTTTAGCATCCTGTTCTTCTTCTTCTTTGGCTATCAGCCATCATCTCATCATCATTCTCACTTCCTGTTTGAACTCTAGATCACACGGCAGAACAAAATTCCTCAGATTTAAGATGGATTATATCACAGCTCTGATGCGTAACAGCAGAATATTCCAACTGTGTGAGAGCATAAAAAAAAGCAGCCCACATTTTATAGTGAAAACGCTTTACTGTTCAAAAGTCTTTTTATTTCTCACAGTCTTACTGTTGTGCCAATGTGATCCTCCTGTTTATGTATATATTATGTTCTTTTCTTGTGACATAAACATGGATCTGATAATATAATCAATTTATATGCACTCATGTTTGTTTTTCCTCCCTGTGAGCAGCTAATGGTTCCCTCGTTGTTCTAAGCCAGATAAGTTGGCAAATGACACCCAGGATATCTGTTAAAGGTGATGTCACAAAAACAATTAATTTACATATTTCTGCCTGTCCAGTCTAAAGCAGTTTAGCCCTGCTGAGCCATGCTGGTTATAAGTAGTGTTTCAGACCAAACTGGGCTCAGAATAAGGCACAATACATAACAACAAATCAAAACATAAGCGTTCATTTACATATATCTGTCTTAAAGGCGCAGTACAAAAGGCACAAAAACCACCTGTTTAATTCTAAGGGATAAAAAGAGGTTGGAATATGGTAGAAATTAATTATTTTTAACATGAATCCATACAAATGTCATAAATGGATCAAGAAATAAAAAATAAAATACAAAAAAATGTAGGATATGAGTTCTTTAAGCCCATGAAACACCAGCTATCATATCTGTCCTTCTTTATTCTGTCAGGATTAAGACTTACTAAACACATCACCCTTCAGTCTTGTATGCATTCTACATGAGTTACACATACAATCCTCAGCAAAGCTTTAGTGCACTAAATGTATTGAAAATGTTTCCAAATCAAGGAAATTAAAGGGCTGATATCATGAAAAACTGACCTGTTCTTACCTTTTTTAAAGTCTGATGTAATATTTAAAAACACTGCTAAAGTTTCAAAACATATTCATATATATACATACACACATATTCACTTTCCAGTCCATACATTTCATAATATCTGGAGATTACACTGTTAAAACAACCTGTTTTGAATCCAATGTTTCTGTGATGTCACAAAAACCAACTCATTTACATATAATCCACCTCTTCATCTTACAGCAGGTCAGCCTCTCCCATTCACACTGAAATTATAAGTGTTTTAGCCTGGACTGCTTTTTAAATGAGGCACAATAAAGAGCAGCCAAACAGAACAGAGCTCATTTACATTTATAAGTCTTAAAGGCACAGAAACAGCTAGTTTTACTCTAAAGGATAAAGAAAGTTTGTAAAATGGTCATGTGAACTTAATTATGATTGTAAATGTTATAAGTGGGCATTATGAATACAAAAATGCAGGATATCAGCTCGTAATGCATTACATTTATAGAAATACAGCACTCAATGTCTTGTTTATACTCTGCCTGTATTCTAATATCTAATGTGCTAATGTTCCCTGTCTCTCAGGCGCAGCATGCTCCCTTGTGCAGAAGCTTACAAAGGAAAATAGTTCATTGTCACCATAGATGCTAAGGCCTTCTCTAAAGATCCCTTTAGGAAGCCCATAAATAAGCTACTCTTGTCTTTACTGGCTTCTGGAACAGCATCTCTAAGAACCAGAGCAGGGATTATGCTGATATAGCTGGCAGGTCTTGGAGGATACTAAAGCAACTCCCTTTCTGTGAGCCAAAATGGATGACCCTTATCAAAACAATGTGCAAGGTATTGAAGGAGAAACCTACCACACCTATGGAGAAGGGGGTCAGGATGGTTATCCCTACCAGTCTGACTACCCTGCCCAGGAGGAGGATGCAGCCAGCGACGTCACTGAGGGTCAGGATGAGGATGACCAGATGTATGAGGGCGAATACCAGGGCATCCCTCACCCAGACGAAATCAAGGAGGCCCGCCGAGCAGCCCGTCGGGAGGCCAGGATGAAGGCTAAACTAGCAGCCTTGGAAGAGGAGGAGACGCTGGCAGATCAGTATGAGGCCATCATGGAGGACTGCGGACACGGGCGCTTCCAGTGGACCCTCTTTACTGTGCTGGGCCTGGCGCTCATGGCCGATGGCGTGGAATGCTTCGTGGTGGCCTTCGCCCTGCCCAGTGCTGAGAAGGACATGTGCCTGTCTAATGCCAACAAGGGCCTGCTGGGTAAGTGAAAAATAATCAGGGCTGGGCAATGTTTAATCACAATATTTAACAATATTATTCAGTATCAATAACTAAGATGACTTAAAAAAGCCAACTTACTTTTGTTTTCTTTGTATTATTATTATTGTCATATGGTCAAACATTTGCAGCGCTACTTTCAAAACAATCTTTGAGCTAGATCCTAGAAACTTTGCAGGATCGTAGAGCCTATACCCCAGAGGTGGGCAACCCATATGTTAAGAAGAGCCATTTTGTCCTTTCAACAAAAATCAAACCACCTTGGGAGCCACAACATGTTATGTCCATTTTACCATCTTGGTTGTAAATATGTCTCAGTATGTGCTGATGTACTAGTATAGGCTAAAAGTATAATATAAATGAAAACACAGACTTACTTTGCTCTGCTTTGGCTCAGCTATAGCTGCTTTTCTCGCATCTCCAGCAGGAAACGTTTCCAAAAGTGATACAGTTTCTTGTACAATATCTCTCAATGTTTGACTTTTTATGTGGCTGAAGTCAGTTTCTCATTGGTTATCTTCTTGTTCGAATTTTCCTGTTCCACCCTAAATGGTGCCTGAGGCGCCAGAAAGTAACTGCTGCACCATTTAAGATGGAACGGGAAAAATCAAAGGAGAAGCTCACTTGGTGACTTTTTAGTGTTTGACAGTTTCTTCTTGCAGATTAAACGTATCAGGAAGCCATCTTATAAATGTGATTATAAATGCAAATAAGCCTATTCATCTCCAAATTATCGAAGTTCATCTTAAATCTTTCTCTTTGCTTTTTGTTAGCTACTTGCTAGGCAAAATTGTTGTCTGCATTGCTGTGTTGCTATGTGACCAGCAGTCTGTGCGCCAACCTTCAGGGTCAAAAGCTGATGAATGAGCAGTTATAGGCTATATTAACTCCAGCGTTTAAGACCATTTATTCCTAAAACTGTGTTAGAACGATCAGCAGAGCTTTATTTTACTGCAAAGGATGATTATTTTATTTTTAACTAAAAATCTAATTCTGCTGTGTAAAATCTACATTTAGAGGATACTGCACTTTTAGTGGGCCTTTATTTATTAAATTTGATTATTATCCTTAACATTTTATTGCCCAGACCTAAAACAGGCATTAAATGATATCTTTCTATCCTGATCAGAGATGCTAACATGACAGAGGGTAATCAGTGTGCAGCTTCCTAAAAGCCAAGTAGGTACCACATACAGACAGATCACTTTAGGAAGCAAGAAACACGCAAGAGTGAAGAGACGCTCATCCACATAAACATCTGCACTGATGGAGGAGCTGGATTAGCACATAAAAAACTACAACCTCATTTGAGTAAATGAGCAGCAAAGAAACATGAATGTAGCTATTTTCTTTGTAGCTACCAAAATGTAGTTGCCAAGACATGTTTGTGTCTGTAGTTTCTTTCTTTAGTTTAGCACTGCAGCTAGGATGCTAATGTAGCTAACACGTAATGGAAAATTGCATTTTGCAAACTGCACCTAAATCACCTGCATCAAGTTGTTCAGTAATCTCAAATAGATTTGCGTATGTGGTTTCTGACCCTGTATGATGTCATACATATGTTTTTTGTGAACTTGTGTCCATTTTTATGTTATGCTATACTGCCTTTTTGCATGGAGAAGCATGGCATCACTAGATGAGCAGCACCACCCGGGGAAGTGCCTTGACCAAAATGACAACCAGGAATACCCAGTCAATCCTGGAATTTTAACCCACAACCTTCTGGTTGCTAGCATAGCTGTACAGCTATAGCCAATACATAGTTATTATAAGATATTAAGATTTTATATATGGACAGTTAAGAGTATCTCATTTTAGACTGTTAGATAAATTGATTAAAGGAATTGCAAGTTTATGTTTAAGTGTGAGAAAAATAGTTGATGTCTACTTGCATAAGACCTGTTGTTTGGTTGAATGACTACTACTTTTTCAGTTGTGCTTAGTTTACTCTGTTGCTTTGTGCACTATTTCTTTAAGGAAACTTAAGGATGGAATTTTCTGAATCTGTTAGATTTGCACTTGAGGATAAGTGTCTATAAGAAGGCCTGGATTATAAAGTCTGAATGGGCAGAATGGGACAGGACCCAAAAGTGCAATCTGGACTGAGGCCTGCGTGCAGTCTGACAGTCTGACAGGCTACAAGGTCACAGCACTGTGGGGAGAGAGTAATCCAGCAGGAGGTTCACACTAGCGCCACACGTGCTGCTAATCGCCTAGCTCATTCTCAAATTAGCTGTGCGCGTGTGTAGTAAGTGCTGTGGTATTGGAAGCATTTTCTAGGGTGATGCTATGTGGTTACTACAATATTAAAACAGGTCGCTAGGGTGTTATTTTGTGGTTCCTGTGGTATTTCATGTGGTTACTTCAGGACAATCCTGAAAAAAGAGATTTTAAGCTCAGAGAGTTTCTTTCCTGGTTAAATAAATGAATAAAGTTTTCTAGGGTTTCAGTAGTGTTCCAGGTGATTGCTAGAACATTGTTTGGTGGAGCCATGGTGTTTCAGGTGGTTGCAAAGATGTTGCTATGTGGTTGCATTGGTATCCCTGGAGATTGCTAGGGGTTTGCTAGGGAGTTGCTGTGTTGTTTCAAGTGGTTGCTGGGATGTTGCTAGGCGGTTGCCAGAGCACTTTTAGATGGTGTCTATGGTATACCAGGTGGTTGCTATGTTTTTTTTTCTTTCTTTTGCGTTATGATGATGTAAGAGGGGGGTGTACAAATTTTGACCACATAGCCTAAAATGATTGTGGTGGAATAAGAGATTTATAGAAGAAGAATGATTCAGTTTCAGAACGTTGGAAATTCTGTCATTCATTACTAATGAAAAGAAAAAGAATGTGGGTGTGAAACATTTTTTATTTTAATTGTAGAATAATAAGAATAGGAAAAATAAGAATAAGAAGAATAGTATGTTGGCTTCAAGCCAACTTAATAATACTCTGAAACACAATATACAGCCACAGAGTACCCAATGAACATCAGAAAACCATACCTGCAATTTTGGAGCACCGGATAATAAAAAAGAGAGATGCTAAATTAGCAGTTGTACTTAAACAGTTTCATCCTTTTTGTAAATCTTGTCTCTTTTTGTAAAGTGTCTATCAAAGTACTTTATATTTTCCTTATAATACACTATATTTAGTGTTTATGCTCTTTTACAATAAAGAAACTTAACAAAACAATTTTGGATAGTGAAATACCAATCAAAAGTTTGGAGAGTTTTGAAAAATATAAAACCTATTCTGGTTTCAGAAAAGAGTATGACATTAATTTAATATGTTAGTCCTGGGCAACTTCACATGTTTACAATAATTAATAAGACACTAGGAAGCTGTAAATAAAAATGAAGAAAGGTTAAATGAGTCCAGAATGATGAATCAAGCTGTAGATGATTCTAAAATAATTGAGGAAGCTGTATAACATCAAGAATGTTATCATAAAATTCAAATGTAAAATTCATCATATGTAAAGCATGAAGATCAAATCTCAGGCAACTGCACAAAAAAAAAATAGATGATTACAGTATATTATGTAGCACTTTATTCACTTCTTGTTCACAGCATTCTTGAAATATTGTAAATTTAAATATCTAAAAGATACTTTTCAGTGAATAGTTTGTCATTTTTAAGTCCACACTGTATAAGAATGATTGTGTAGTTCTTCCACCCAGTTTTAATGTCTGTTCACCCAAACTGAGGTAATGTGAGACCTCTAGTGGTTGAAAATGGTCTCCGTCATTCCTAATGTTTCTGAAGGCTGGTTTCAGTGCTGGGCTTCAGTCTCATTCTCTATGAAGTTGTGAGTTGAGGGTCATTCAGAAATGAAGGAATAGCAGCGGGGCTTAATAAAACGTATACAAAATCAAGTCAGAAAAGCTTGTAATAGTGTTGGTACACTGTAATGATATGTACTGTTAAAAACTGAAAGCATGAATTTTCCAAATCATAATAATGCTCTGCCTGTACTGAGACAAGCTGCATTTTAAAATAGCTTTTGGAGGTGATATGAATGTTATATGATATGAATAATAGCCCATTCTTCATGCGTAATAGAATACTATTGTCCTGATTGAAGCGCTGTCGCCTCACAGCAAGAAGGGCCTGGGTTCAATTCCCGGCCGGGCGACCGGGGTCCTTTCTGTGTGGAGTTTGCATGTTCTCCCCGTGTCTGCGTGGGTTTCCTCCGGGTTCTCCGGTTTCCTCCCACAGTCCAAAAACATGCAGTCAGGCCAATTGGACATGTTAATATTGCCCCTAGGTGTGCGTGTGTGTGTGAATATGTATGTTTGTCTGTCTGCCCTGCGATGGACTGGCGACCTATCCAGGGTGTATCCTGCCTTTCGCCCAATGACAGCTGGAATAGGCTTCAGCACCCCACCGCGACCCAGAAGGATAAGCGGTTTAGAAGATGTATGTATGTATGTATGTATGTATGTATGTATGTCCTGATTGAACGGGACTGGCCTTTAATGAGATGATTTGATCGCACAGTCATGTGTATAAATAAAAAAATAAAATGTAATAAAAAAATAATAAAAAAATGTAAAAATAGCTTTATAGCCCTTTAATGTTCTTTAATCTCTCATTGCAGGTCATTGTGCTGCCATTGAGCTAAATCGGGGGTCAGCAACGTGCGACTCTTTCTCCTGTTGCGGCTCCACAGCAGAATTAGGTTTTAGGTAAAAATAAAATAATCCTACCTTGCAGTAAAATAAAGCTCCGCTGATCGTTCAACACAGTTTTAACACTAAATTCTCTTAAAGCCTGGAGTTAATGTACTACTTCTAATTCACCCTTTGACCCTGAAGGGCGGCGCGCAGACTGTTGGTTACCATAGCGATGCAGAAAATCTCGCCTAGCTAGTAGCTAACGAAAAAACAAAGAGAAAGATTTAAGACGAAGATCGATAATTTAAAGACGAATGGACTCATTTGCATTTAGAAACACTCCAGCTGGTTTCCCGATACGTTTAATCTGCAACGAGAAACGGTCAAACTTAGTTTTAAAGTCGCGAGGCTGAAGTCAGCTTCTCATTTATCAGCTTCTTGTTTGAATTATGCCGCTCCATCTTAAATGGTGCAGCAGTTAAGCTAGCTAGGTTACGTTCTTTAAGGTGGAACGAGACAATTCAAACAAGAAGCTGGTGAATGAGAAGCTGACTTCAGCCTCGTAAAAATCAAACATTAAGAGACATTTTACAATAAACTTTTTCCACTTTTGAGGAAAAAATCCTGCTGGAGTTGCGAGAAAAGCGACTAAAGCTTAAAGCAGAGCAAAGTAAGTCTGTGTTTTTGTTTATATCATATGTTTTAGCCTACACTAGCACATTAGCACATACTGAGACATATTTAGAGCCAAGGTGGTAAAATAGACATAAAACGTTGTGGCTCCTAAGGTGGTTTGATTTTTGCTGAAAGGATTAAATGGCTTTTTTTTAACATTTGGTTTACGACCCCTGGGCTTAATTAAACCAGCGAAAGCAGAGTATCAATTCAGACTAGAACAATTCTGAGGACTTTTCATTGGTTTTGTTCTGTAGCTACTTTTCATAGGCCATTAAATTCAGATGTTTCTGAAGAGATTCGTTGCATAGGGAAGGGGAAGGTCAAAGGAATTAAAGTGAAAAAATTAAAAAGTAGCTGTAAAGAAGTCATTTCTGAGTGGAAATAGTGTTCTGTGAACAATGGACTGACCACCCCAGAGTCCAGAGCTCACTGAATGTGTTTGGGATCACTTGATTTGTGAGAAGCAAAAAAATGCAACAAATTTCTAAGACTGAACTTCGGAGGTGTGGAAAAATATTCCTTCAGATTTCTCTGAAAAACTGTAAGTGAGTTTCCTGAAAGGAATACAAGCTGTGATAAAGGTAGAAGAGTGAACACACTAAACATTAAAAAAACAAACAGACATATATTTAGTTATTGAGTCTTCTGTATAATTTTTGTTTTGTTTTTCTTTTTGTTGATGCTGAAAAATGAATAACTTGTACTTAATGGTTGTTTTGACTGGAAATGAAATACATGAAGGGTGGTCTCTGACTTTAACATAGTGTTGTATGTGCTCATCCTGTGCTTTTCAAACATACAAATCAGAAAAAAAAATCAGTAAAAAAAAAATAGTTTTTATTATTTATATTCCACTACCAATTAAATAGGTTTTGCACAGCCACATTTATGCATTCAGTGCACTTTTACAAATAATTGTGAATCTTACTACCATAATCAAATCAGATTGTGATGATGTTATGCCTTCACAATACATGAAATCATTGACAGACATTTAGACAGAATGTATTCTGTTGTCAGGCTGTATAATGGTGTTCTGCATGTCTGTGTGTGCAGGCCTGATCGTGTATGTGGGGATGATGATGGGAGCAGTCATGTGGGGGGGTCTGGCTGATAAGCTTGGACGCCGCCAGTGTCTCCTCTATGCTCTGGCCATCAACTGCATCTTCTCTTTCCTCTCCTCCTTCGCCCAGGGCTATGGCTTCTTCCTGTTCTTCAGACTCTGCTCTGGAATTGGGTGAGAGTTTTCCTTTGTTGAAGGGGAATTCTACCCATTTTTTAATTTTCTGCCTAATTCAACCATTAAGATGTAAAGTCATTCAGAGTGGTTTGATGTGAAACATGGCATTCTAGAGAAACTTGCTGAGTCAGAATTGTTGAATAGAGTGGTGATGATAGGAACCAGACATCTGAAAAATTTAATGCCTCTAAAAGCTCCTTCACATAAAGTTATTACACAAAATGCTTCGGAATGCATTGCCTGAACCCTGAGACATTGTTTTACGATTGTTTTGAGAAGGTTTTGGCTTAAAATGTATTTTTTAAAATCTATTCATGGCGGTGAAGTACATGCAAGGTGTTGTGAGGCAAAATAGTCCCCAAAGAAGACTATACACTATTTTACCATCATCAACATTGCATAGGAAAACTCAGAAGACATGTGTTGATTCACTGGAGGTTTTTGATAGTAAATAAAATGGCTATATTTGTGTTGTAGTCATTGTGACTCTTGTCACCACCACTGTAAAGAAATCTGTAAGTGTCTGTAAGTTACTCCGCAATGAAACATTTCACATCAAATAACTTTGAGTGACTCTGTTTACATCTTAATGATTGAATTAAGCAGAACATTTGAAAAATTTGTAACATTCCTCTTTAATTGTTATATTGATTTATGTAGGCTGTTAACCACTGTAACCTGCTAGTATTGCTTTCATTTCTCAATACTGAAGAAATTTGAGAAAAATGAGAGTGACTGCACGTGCCATTAGTCCTTAGTCATTATATAATGGTCAGTTCTTAGCAGGATGCGCAAAATATCATCTTCATGTTTCAGTTTTAGTTCAATTCTCCCAGCACAAACCTATGTGTGTGCATTTTACTTTAATTAATGTACAGCATTTGTCCTCTACAGAATAGGTGGCTCTGTCCCCATTGTGTACACGTACTATGCAGAGTTCCTGCAGATGGATAAGCGGGGGGAGCATCTGAGCTGGCTGTGTCTGTTCTGGATGCTGGGTGGCCTGTACGCTTCCTTCACCGCCTGGGGAATCATCCCTCATTATGGTAATAACAGCAGTAATGATCAGCATAATTACACTAATAATATCTACGGTGATGAGGCCCATAATTATGATAAAGAAGCTGGAAAAATCCATTGAGTTTGTGAGGGGTAACAAAAGGAATATCTTCTCAAAGGAATATCATTCTTACAATCTGTTAAAAGGGAATTACATCACATTTTCAAAATTTCTTTTAAATTAAATTGTCAAGAAGCAAACAAAGTCATTCAGAGTAGCTTTATGTGAAATGCTCAGTTTTGTCATGTTTTCCTAATCAGAATTGTTCACAGTGGTGGTGATAGGAACCAGACGTCCAATGTATTAAACGCCTCTAAAAGCTCCATCTCAGGAAGTTATTATAAGAAATGGTTATAAATACTTTGCATGAGCCTGATATGTTGTCTTACAGTAGTTTTGACATGAAAGGTTGAAGATTTTGGCCTTAAGCATATATGTTTTTTAATCTATTCATGGCAGAGAGGTACATGGACACCAAATAGTTCCCAAAGAAAACCTGTTTTTTCGGATGCATAGAAAAACTCAGAAGACACGAGTAAGTTCATTGGTGGTTTTGAATAATAAATAAAATGGCTACATTTGCATGGTAGACATTGTGACTCCTGATTCCTATAACCTCCACTATAAAGAAATCTGAGTTAAGTTTTCCTATAATTAACTATTTCACATCAAACCACTCTGAATGACTTTGTTTACATCTCAATCATTGAATAACACAGAAGATTTGAAATTTCGATGGAATTTCCTTGTAATATAAGGAGTAAAAATAAAAAAGAATGTCTTATGAAAAAGATATGTATGAAACATCCTACTTCTGTAGATTTTCAACCTACACTGAACTAATAACACTGAAATATCAGGCTGTTTTCAAGAGAAGATACAGTGCTGTGCAAAAGTCTGAGATCACCCTTCATTTATAGTATTTCCATTATGTACAAATTAATTCATTTTCGGGAGATACTTCTGAGGTGATTAGGTTTAACCCTTGTGTGGTGTTCATGTTTTTGTTACTCAGTGGTCTGGTGGACCCACCTCATTATTGTTTTTGTAAATCAATACAGCCATAACATTTTTTGTAAAAATGCCAGTTGCTTAAAACATCACAAGTGGCCAGCATAGTGTTCTCATTTAGCAGCTGTAGCCAGTCAGCAGCCTGTCCACGTTGTCCACTCTCACACACATGCACACATAAACAAACACATACACACAGACACACACACACTAATAGCAGGCCATGTAGGAGGAGAACAGAGTGAAGGACACAGCACCTCCACACTTTTATTCCCTGCAGGTTCACCCCAACACCACATGTCTAATATAAATGTGTAGGGGGTGAACAGTGTGAAGTCATTGAAAATGTGCTATTTTATATGTTCTTCACAGAATATTAGCAAAGGCCAAAGAATCATCATTTTTTCTTTTGGCAAACAATTTAAATAGGTCCCACAGACCCGAACATTACATAAGGAAAATATCACATAAGGAAAAATACCACAAATACCACATAAGAAAAAATGATGTCAGAAGTTCAAAAAATGATTAATAGACACAGAGAAATTTCGATTCCTAACAACCACCTGCAAGACCGGGTAGATACCAAAACTGTCCCCATCAGATAAACAGCACTTAAAGCTTTCATCTTTGAGAGAGAGGAGAAAATCAAGCTGCTTCAATCTGAAAAAAATCCACTGTGAGACGGAGAAGTGGCCACAAATGAAGAAACATGGAAGCTGCGAGTGTTCTCAGAGCAGTAGACTGACCACCTCAGAGTCCAACATGGATGTGTGATTACATGGATGGTGAGAAGCAGAAAGTGCAGCCAACTTCTAAGACTGAAATTTGGAGGTGTGAAAAATATCCCTGCAGAGCTCTTTGAAGAGCTGAAAGTGAGTCTCCTGAAACGTATAGAAGCTGTAATGATGGGAAAGAGTGGACACACAAAGTATTAAGAAATATTATCTTTAGATGTTGTAATTTTTAGTTAAATATATGTTTTCTGCTTGTTTTCCAGATGGAAAAATTCCAGTTTATACTTAATGGCTGCTTTGACTGTACATTAAATAAATAAAGGGTGGTCTGAGACTTTTGCACAGTCATGTAGACCAATGTCAGAGCGTTATAATAAACCAGTCTAGTCCATGAAGACTTTATGTCAGTGAGGAAACGAATGGTTTGTGTGTCCGTTTTGTAGGCTGGGGTTTCAGTATGGGCTCCGAGTTCCAGTTCCACAGCTGGAGGGTGTTTGTGCTGGTGTGCTTCCTGCCCTCCGTGGTTGCTCTTGCTGGACTCGTGTTTATGCCTGAGAGCCCTCGCTACCTGCTGGAGGTAACATCATTCAGTTGTACTGGTAGTTGAATAAACATTTATGTTAATTGTAGATTAATTCACATTTCCTGTTTAAATTACTTTTTGTTAATTTTCTAAGTGATACATTAACACATCCTGTACAGAGAACACACCTAAATATGATATTTTTCTGCTCTTTTTAGTGCACAATTTCTATTATTTATTTATTCATTCATTCATTGCTAATTTTAACATATTGAAAAAAATCTAAAAAGTCTAAAAAAAATCTTTTTTTCCCAGTATGTTAAATTAAATAAACAGTAATTGTGCATTAAAATGTGCATTAAAGTGTGTCTCTGTAGAGAATGTATTAACTTATTTTCACTTAGAAAATCAACAAAATATGTCATACGTATATATATATATATATATATATATATATATACACATGTATACATGATGCTCAATAACATTGTATGTGTGTTTGGTGCTGTTCAGAATGCGAGGCATGATGAAGCCTGGATGATCCTGCGGCAGGTCCACGACACCAACTGGAGGGCAAAGGGTGAACCAGAGAGAGTGTTTGAAGTATGTAAACATATTTCACCTCTAGATTTAAGATAGATAGATAGGTCTTTAGATAGGCTGAATTAGTGTGGAGATGTTATGAAGCAAGCTCAGCACAATGAGGCTTTCTCATAGGTAGCAGTCCTCACTAAAACACATTTTACTAGATTTCACTAACTAGCAAACAGCTGGATTTGAAGCTGGATTAGTTTTACTTGGAGAGGTACTGTAACTTTAATCCAGTATGAGTCTGCAATATCTGTACTTAGTCCTCTAAGTGAGGACTCCAGAGTGAAATACTTTGTCTTAACAGCTAAAACTGAGCTCAAAATGATCTGATTCCCTAATCCTCAAATTCATAACATGACTTCTTTTGTAAGGTACTTCTTTTACTTTCTAAGTTTTTGGTTTGAGCTCCGCTCTCATACATTTTGCTATAAGTACACTCCATATAGCACCAGAAAGGGTTCTGCTATTGTTGTGATGTCAAGCTTGTAAAAATAAAAGAACCCTTTTTAGTGCTATATAGAACATTTTTAAAAGGTTCTATAAAGAATCATATACAACACATTCCTCATTAATCTGAAGAACATTTCACCAAAGAATCATTTAAGCATGCAAATGTGTCTAAATACAACTAACAGATCTAAGCAGAACCATTGCCTTTATTAAAGAACCCTTGAAGAAACATTGTTTTTAAGTGTGTACCTGGAATAAACCTTGAATAAATCCAGCAAATCGACAGTCACAGATATAAATGAAGAGTATAATGATAATCATTGGTGTATGTGTGTAAATGGTGGAGGGGAAATAATCTAATTAAAAAATATAAAAAGGCCAATCAGAGGCCCTGAATCACTCGGGGGTGTAAACCCATGCATTAAATCACTCCTGAGCATGACACCTGTCGCAGAGCACTAACAAGCACATCCGCACGATGATGTTTCAGTCTGGGCAGTTTGGGGTCATTTTGGGAAAATTACAAAGATCCTTTATTCCGTATGAATCAGCCAGTCAAATTACAAACAGATTACATCACCTCATCTGGTAAAACTAATCCAGCGTGAACAAGGCTTAAGACCCATCACTGTGTTGTAATCTGGGCAGACAAAAAGATGCAAAATTCAGACATCAAGGTGTGTGCGGTTATTGTTTTTAGCTATGTTACGTACTTTTGTCCATTTGTGTAGTTAACAGTTTGTCCTAAGATGTCAGAAACCATACAAACAAGACAAATTGCAAAGATGTCATGATTTAGACTCTTTTCACTGTGCTAACTGATATCATAAGCTTCCATTACTGGTTAGCTTGCACTTTCATAATATATCTTCCATCCATCCATCATCTAAACCGCTTATCCTTCTGGGTCGCGGTGGGGTGCTGGAGTCTATCCCAGCTGTCATTGGGCAGAAGGCAGGATACACCCTGGATAGGTCGCCAGTCCATCGCAGGGCAGACAGACAGACATACACATTCACACACACACGCACACCTAGGGGCAATTTAGCACGTCCAATTGGCCTGACTGCATGTCTTTGGACTGTGGGAGGAAACCGGAGTACCTGGAGGAAACCCACGCAGACACGGGGAGAACATGCAAACTCCACACAGAAAGGACCTTGGTCACCCGGCCGGGAATTGAACCCAGGCCCTTCTTGCTGTGAGGCGACAGCGCTACCCACTGCGCCGCCCCATAATATATCATATTAATATTAATTAATTTCATAATAAATCATATTAATCAAATAAGCACTTAACCTTCAGAAAATGTTGTGTTTCCACCTCACCTAAATCAGATACTATATGAGTTATTTTCACCATAAATTAGTGAATAACAGGGTTGAACACAGAGATCATATTCCCCATTTAGTTGATATTAATGCAGTAACGCATGCGATTTAAAGTATACAACATAGAGAAGAAAGTAAATTTGAAAAGCAGTTTTAATCAAAATGTTTTTATTAAAATATTTGTTTCAAGGTATTTTTATTCCATTCTTATTTAAAATAATTAAAGGTTAAAAATGGGTAACAGGTTGGAGTACAGATCACTCACTTTTTACAAAAAATAACAACAGTCACTTTAATGCTTTTAAAAAGGTACTTGGACATAAATTGAGCTCTATTCATGGAAAGTGTCAGCTACATGAGCCTCATAGGTCCAGTGAGAAGACACGAAACATGTCTTGGCTGGTTGACCATATTTTGGGGAAAATTTCATTTTGGCTAAAGTTAAAACATTCTGTGCTCTCAGTTTTCCCAGATTAAGACGCCCCACACTCAGGATGATGATTTCATCGAGATTCAGAGTGAGACCGGCACTGCCTTCCAGAGATTCATGGTCAGGCAAATGACCCTCATCAAACAGGTACGACATAAAAACATAGTTTTAAGTCTTTTAAATTGAAATTACTGTTTTAAAAGCTGTGGTGACTGACCTGTTGTGGCTTTTTTAAAGGTGATGAAGAATTTACTGTCTCTCGCTGCCCCTGAACTGAGACTGCCTGGCTTGTTCATTGCCATTGTTTGGTTTACGATGGCCTTCAGGTAAAGGCTAATTTCTCTGTGGATAAATAAAGCTGACAAATATTGTTTAATTTTACTTTGCACAAAGAATGAGTGCAAACTTTATTGAATATTATTATAATGGATTGTTGTGACATTTGTAACATCATTTGTAATATTTTATAATTGATGCAGTTAAAGCAACACAGCTATATGTTTGCAGCACTAGACTCTCCATATGGGTCATCGTTATAGACACAAAACATTTTACAATAAAAATGAGATATTCTGTCAACATGCAATCTTTTTTTATTCACCCACAGCTACTACGGTCTGTCAGTGTGGTTCCCTGACCAAATCAAGTTCCTGCAGTATGAAGAGTATGAGCTGAATGTCAAGGTGTTCCACCGTGAGAAGGTCGAACGCTTTCATTTCAACTTCACTCTGCAAAATCAGGTTCACAGAGAGGGCGAATACATCCATGACAGGTACTGTGTGACCCACATGTCTGTCTGTCTGTCTGTCTGCTGGATAAGGAGTGATTAGAAAAGTGTGTTTATTCTGTATTAGAGATGAAACGATATTAAAATTTCATATCACGATTATCATGACCAAAATTATCACGATTATCGATATTATCGCAATATTGTTCAAATGTGTTGAAGACTAAAATAAATTAAAAAATAAATACTGATATACAAACTGAAACTTTTATATTAACACAAATAGAATTGGCAGCAATATGCACTTTTTGTTTGCATAAACATTAAAAAATATAGTCAATACATTTGTTGTATTACTTTTGTATTACTTACATTACTTGTAATACTCTGTAAACAAAAGAATAGCAAATGTATTATTATTACTGTTATTACTATTATTATTATTGTTATTACTATTATTATTACTGTTGTAATTATTTTATTATTATTAGTAGTAGTAGTAGTAGTAGTAGTAGTAATTACAATAACTAGGGATTTCCCTGCATAGAGAATTAAATCTCGACCAACTCTGAGGTGGGTCTTAATGGAAAATTATTACTTCTAAGAAGTGCTGCATTATTGTGCCGTTGTGGCGCTGTACCCCTAATCAATACAGTGCACCAGGAAAAACAGCCAAAATCACAGAGGAATTGCGTGACTGTGCTGTGAGCTGCAGACAGTGTAGAACTCACACAGTGTGTCTTCACCTGTGGAGCTGCTTCTCTAAAAGCATTTTAAAACTAAAACATAACTTAAAATTAACATGCATCTGAGCTGCGGCAGAAACACTCCTAAAGTTTAATCTCTGAAACTCACACAGCATTTACTTGCGCAAGGTCCCATCTCAAAGCACACTATCTTCCCTATGTAGTGCACTTTGTGGATCATGAAATAGCAAATCCTTCACCCAAAGAGTGCAGGAAATGTTCGACTAAGTCATCTATCATCAACATTAACAACAGGTTACAAATTCACTATTTAAAACTCAACTGCTTGTAAATGATGATTGTGTTTGTTTGAAAAGTAGCGCACTATGTAGGGGACATTGAGTGATTTGAGACGGTGTTATTCTCTTCTCAGAAAGTAAACACTGCGAGCGAGACGAGAAAGGGGAGCTGTGCAGATTGAACCACTGCAGCGTCTCGTTCCAGAGCTTGTATGACTGTTAACTCAGAGCTCATTTTGGAGACTCTGCTCCACAGAAATATGTGTTAAAAGCTTTAGTTTCGATTCACAGTTGATTCACCGATTGTTTTATGCTAAAAGCTTCATTTTATGTTATTAACGAACCATAAGCATAAGTTAAACCACACAAACCGTGACATTTCTTCTATTTCGAAGTCCCCACAGACTTCTACGTTAAAGTTAACCTTGCATTCTCTAAAAAGTAGCGGGTGGTGGTCGCGAAGATGACTCGTAAGGTTTGATTTGTTGCCCCCTTTCGCCGCTATTTTCTTTCGGCCTGTTCTGCAGACAGGGTGGTCATCTTCAATTAACTTTCCTTCTGCATTCTTATAAAACCCAAAATATGACCCAACGTCAGACTTGGTCTTCTTAGAAGGCTGAAATATCTCCGAATCTCTGTCACTACATTCCGCCATATTCTCCCCTCTCTCCCCCTTCCCCTCTACACACACACAGAGCTGCATCTGAGAGAATGAATCTGCCTTGTTTGACTCTGTACAGCGAGTATTTCACACCGCGGTAATCGGCCGCGGTTTTTACGATACATTAAAGTTCAAACGGTACTACTAACCGTCATTAATTTTACCACGGTTTACCGTGAAACCGGTAACCGTTTCATCTCTATTCTGTATTAACTCTATTACTCTAGACTGTGAACTTTGAGTTCAGCTCAATTTAAACCTGCAGTCACACTTTAACTCGGTTTTATTCCTTTTCTTTTCTTTTTCTTCTCTTGATCACCTTTCAGTTTTCTTTCTTTCATCATTCCTTTATTCGTTCTTTCTTTCTTTCTCTCCTCTTTTCTTCCCTTCTTGCAAACTTTCTACTTTCCCTTCCTTTTAATTCTTCCTTTCCTTTGTCTTTCCTTTCTTTCATTATTTCCTCCTTTTTCTTTCTTTTTTCTTCTTTCATTTTTTTCTTTTTTCCTTTCTTTCTTTTTCACCCCCACTTTTTCTTTCTTTCTTTCTTTTTCTTCCTTCATTTTTATTTCTTTTTCTTCTTTTTTCATTTTCTTTCTTTCCCTTCTCTTTCTCTTTCTTTTTCTTTCTTTCTTTCTTTCTTTATTTATTTTCCTTCTTTTCTTTTTGTTAAGCACATAAATTGAACAGGAACTGAACAATGGCTTTTCAGCGCTGTGTTTTGTGTGTCCAGGTTTGTCGGCATAGAGATCAGAAACGTGAAGTTTGAAGACTCGCTGTTTGAAAACTGCTATTTTGAGGACATCAAGTCCACAGACACCTTCTTTGAGAACTGCACCCTGCAGAACACTATGTTCTACAACACCGGTACGTCACATCAACATTCACAAAACGTTCCTTACACATGTTTATTTTAGTTGCAGTCATTTTAATTTTTACTGCTCTTTTGTTCTTTGCAGACTTGTGGAAAGATTCAAAGTTCATTGACTGCAAGTTTGTCAATGTTACATTTCATCATCCAAAGAAAGGCTGCCATCTGAACTTCCAGGAGGAGAATGACGTCCTGATTTACATAGTGAGCTTCCTGGGCAGCTTATCTGTGCTGCCCGGCAACATCTTAGCAGGTCTGCTAATGGATAAAATAGGAAGAATCAAAATCATAGGTAGGTGCTGATTGAAACCTTTCTGTGGTTTATTGTGAGGTTTCTGTAGTCATAATAATATTAATATGAACATTATTTTCATATTATGTTATATTTAGCTGTTGGAACAAAATCCACAATGTTAACTTTACAGGAGAAGCAAAAAACATTCTTGACTTTGAATGGAAGTTAATGAAATTAGATTTGGTTCGGTCAAAATGAAATTTTGGCACTTTGGAAAGGCCAGCTGGCTTTTTAAAATTCAGTAAAAAAGTACAAAACGACAAAAATGGAGATACGAGGTTTTGTTCCGGCATCAACAAGATTTGTATATATACATCGTGAAATGGAGATTTTATATATATATGATTATTATGACATATATGCACATAATTATTGTCAGTACATCACTATCAGAACAAAATCAAATCAAAACCTCCATTTTTGTTGTTTAGAAGCTTTTGTTCTGACAGCGAACACACACACACACACACACACACACACACATATATATATATATATATATATGTATGTGTGTATTCCTGACATGGTATAAAAATAAACATGACACATATGGGTGTGTGTGTGTGTGTGTGTTTATATGTTTTTGTGCAGGTGGCTCCATGCTGGTGTCCTCTGGCTGTACCTTCTTCCTGCTCCTCTGCTTTAACCCAGGCGCTGTAATAACCTTCCAGTGCCTCTTCTATGCAGCGTCTGCAGCAGCCTGGAACGGAATAGAAGTGATAACAGTGGAGCTCTATCCAGCCTCAAAGAGGTACTGTCCAGTTCACAGGCTGTTTTACAAAGAACAGAAAAGGAACTGAGAAGATAAAAATATGTTATTTTATATATCATGACCTAATATTATATACCATGACCTTAAGAGAGACCAGCTCATCACTGTTGTTACAAAACCTCATAATTTGAAATGGTAACTTTACAGGAGACTTCCTTAAACTTTAATGCTAACAAACTTCTGGACAGTTTCCATTGGTCCATTCATCATGAAATATTCTCACAGTGTAAAGGGCAGCTGGTGTTTTCAGATGGTGTAAAAAGACATTATGAGGTTATGTTAAAATGTTACAGTCACAAAGCATTATAAAATAAAAACAGAGGAAAACGCATGTGGATCATGCACTGTAGGTCCAAAAGCATCCAGACACCCTTTCTAATGAGTGAATTCAACTGCTTTAAGGTGCACCCAGTGCTGGCAAAGTTCAGTTGCACACACAGCTCATTTAATCTCCATTAAAAGCATTGACCAATAGAATGGGATGCTCTGGAGCACCTGTACAAGCCTAAGGTCACCATGCCCAATGCCAGGCGTGCACTAGAAGGGGTTAAAACCCCCAGATTTGAACTGTGGAGCAGTGGAGCTGCGTTCTCAGGAATGATGGCGCTCCATCCAATACCTTTGAGATGAGCTGTAGTGATCCAGAACTGACCATTCAACATCAGTACCTGACCTCACTAATGCTCAATCAAATCCTCGCAGCAATGTTCCAACATCTAGTGTAAATTCTTTCCAGAATAGTAGAGGCTCTTACTGCAGCACTTTAATAATACCCTTAATTGCAGAAGAAATGTTGGAGGAGCATGTGTCCACAAACTTATGGCATGTATTGTATCTTTAGGATCTTTTAGAAGTAAAATAATTAATCAATTCAAATTAATCTTCTTGAAATGTCTTTACATTCTTAAAAAGATGGTTCTTTAGTAAAGGCAGTGGTTCTGTTTAGAACCATGAGTTCTATATAGAACCATTTTATGCTTGACCCTTTAAAACCCCAGGCTTATTACATACTAAGGCTTATTATTCAATAACTACAGGGTCTTCAATGAAAACTGGGTGAGCTATTCATAGGTTATAGAAGTGTGTGATAAAACTTCAGGCCCTGGCCTTTTAAGAGGTTAAATGGTTCTTTGCATGGTGAAATGGTTCTTCAGAATGATTGAGAATATGTTGTACATAGTTGTATATAGAAACATTTTCGGAAAGGTTCTATATAGAACCAAATACAACACATTCTCCATCAATCTGAAGAACCATTTCACCATGCAGATATCTAGTTAAGCATGAAACTGCTCTGTATAGAACTCATGGTTCTAAATAGAACCATTTCCTTTACTAAAGAGCTCTTGAAGAACCATCTTTTTTAATCATTTAGGATTTATTTCTCTTTTTCTACCTCAAAAAAGAAGTATAACTGAGCAAGTTCACACAAACTGACAACATTAATATGAAACTGACAACCTTGTTGTAAACTGAGCTGACAAGGCCTGCAGGCAATCCCTCCATATCTTCAGACTTGGAAGAGTTCTAACTGTTTCAGACTCTCCTCAGCGGTCCAGGCTTATGATCCTGCTCTTCTCTTCCTCAGAGCGACTGCTTTCGGCGTGCTAAATGGTTTGTGCAAGTTGGCTGCCATCATCAGCATCTTCATCTTCTCCAAGTTTGTGGGGATCACTAAGATTGTTCCCAGCCTGCTGGCCTTCTCAGCGCTGGTGTGTGGAGGGCTGCTGTCCTTCAAGCTTCCAGAGACACGTGAAGTCATCCTCCAGTAAAAACAACACCAGCAAACAATCCCACAAACAAAAAAAGCCAAACTTTTCAAATGTTAAGGCCTCGTAGCAGCGCTCGGTCCAGCTGGAAACTGGATCTTCTCATGCCCAGAAAAGTGGAAGTGTGGGGGCAGATGTTGTTTATGATCGTGTAAAGTTAAAATGATGTTTACTGTTGGTTAGTTTATTAGTTAATCAGGTCAGATTTAGTTTTACTGTCCATTCACTCTTTTTTTTTTAGCCAGAGTCTGGGCTTTGGCGATATTGTCTTGCTCATGATAACTTCTGATTGGTAATGAGCAAGAGCGTTAGTGTATTTTCATTTTTTTTCTTTTTTTGTTGTGGATTAGAATATCACTCAGAAGTAAGATTTATTCATTTTATCTCTGTACTTTGGATTTGGACAGAGATAGAGTACAGTTCTGAAGTCAGAGACCACCTTCATTTATATAGGCATAAGGCAAGCCCAAGACCAGGAAAAGACCAGGTATATGTATGTATGTATGTATATATATATATATATATATATATATATATATACACCAATCAGGCATAAGATTATGATCACCTCCTTGTTTCTCTGATCATTGTCCATTTTATCAGCTCTACTTACTATATAGGTGCACTTTGTAGTTCTACAATTACAGACTGTAGTCCATCTGTTTCTCTGCATACTTTATTAGCCCCCTTTTACCCTTTTGTTCAGTGGTCAGGACCCCCATTGACCCTCACAGAGCAGAGACTATTTGGGTGGTGGATCATTCTCTGCACTGCAGTAACACTAAAGTGGTGGTGGTGTGATAGTGTGTGTTGTGCTGGTACAAGTGGATCAGACACAGCAGTGCTGCTGGAGTTTTTAAAGAAACCTGCAGGGAGATATTTTTCACACCTCCAAAGTTCAGTCTTAGAGGTTGGTTGGACTTTCTGCTTCTCATGATCTGAGTAATCCCAAACACATTCAGTGATGTTGATGTCTTTCTTTACGCAAGTAAAAAAAAAAGAGGTCCAGAAATGGAATAAATGACTGGTGGTCTCTAACTTTTTTACTGTACATTTACAGTTACTACCAGACAACCGAATCTGTTGACCTGCTGACTTGTTTTTGTTGTATTTGTTTATTACTATAGCACATGTATATTTTTGCTGTAGTTTATGTGTTTGATTTATGGCCAGATTAATTCCTGTTTCATTGTATGTCAGTCCATTTCATTGCAATATAAAAATCATCCAAAGAGTATATGATGGCAGAGGCAGTAAAAGGCCTCATTTGTATTCTGTATGCATATGATCAACATGCTCATTTCCTGAATCATATTTAAAATGAGAATTCCCTTTAACATAACTGTACCTATAGTTTATGTTCTACATTTCATTAAGCATAAATGCATTTTATCAGGATTCTGATCAGAGTTGAAGTTTCTGTTTAAGAATAAGAAAGTTTATGCCAGAAAGTGATTTAGTACATTATTTGAACTTTAAATGAAAACTTAAATAAACATATTTAAACATAAACCATTAACCCTTAATGTACAGGAAGTGTACAAAATAGCATAAACACCACATAGAGTACTCGTACTCATAGGCCATTTTATCAGAACCAACAAATATGCACACTTTGCAGGTTTACATTGACAGACTGTAGCCCATTATAGCAGTCAGTAACTGTAAACCTACAAAGTGCACTTGTGTAGTAGGAGTTTTTGATCAAAAATTTAGAGTATGAGTTTTTCATATGTATTTCCTGTTATTTTGGCACACATGTTTTATACACTGCAAAACATAGGGTCTTGTCAAGTGAAATGATCTTAAATCTAGTCATTATGTCTATTATGTCTCATTTTGAGATGGTTGTGTGCGTACTATAAGATTATCTAGCTTAATTCTGGACATTATTTATGTGTTTTAGGTGATTTTATTAAGTTAAAATATCTCTCACTATACTAGCAGATAACTTTGTACACTCTCAAAAATAAAGGTACTAAACTGTCACTGGGGCAGTACCCCTCTTGTTACTGGGGTGGAACCCTCAAGGGTACATCTCAGGACCTTTAGTCAGGCAACATAACTGTACCATAATCCATTAAAATTTTATTCTCTAAATTGTACTGACTCCACACACCACGTCTCGTCTGCAGGCTTTTCATTTTATTGTTCTGTTTTAAAACATTAGAATATGAAAAGGTAAAAATCTGTACTTTTCACCTGGAAAAACTTATTTAAGGTTCACAGTTGGACCTTTATTACATTTACATTGTTTGTACCTTGATGAACTAAAAATATACCTGCATAGAACCTTTATTTCTAAAAGTGTAGTTTCAAACACATTTCTTAAAAAAAGCACAATTATCTGCCAATGTAGTGGATTATTTTGCTTAAAACGAGTAAAAAATATCTAGAAATAAGTTAAGTAATCTTAAAATAAGCTTACACCAATTTCAATAACTAGATTTAAGATACTTTTACTTGACAAGATCCCATTTTTTGCAGTAAAACATATAAAATGACAAATATCTCTGTCAAAACTGTTCAATAATCAGCCCGATAACAAAAAAGGCCTATTTTTACTATTTGTACAGAATGTGTTCAATGTCAAAGATGCATTATAACTGGATGTGGACAAGCGTGTGCATCTCCAGGCCATCAAAATTACACAAAGATTACTTTTATGCACAAAAAAATGTATGTACATACAGTTTAAACTACAGTTTTTCACAGCACAGTTTAAGCAGTTCAGGCAGTTCTTTTGAATAAGAATGTTCTTTTTATATTTCATATTAAAAATTATGTGATGGCTTAAGTTACTGTTTTGTTTCTGTGATGGTAAAAATAAAGAGAATTAAAAGTGGTGGCGAATGGTGAATGACTTCATTCTGACGTATGTAATTACTGATCTGATTGCGAATCTACACTCTTAAAAAAGATGGTTCTTTAATGGTTCTTTAGTCAAGACAATGGTTCTATATGAACCGATGAACACTAAAAGAACCATATGCATCCTTAAATGGTTGAAATGCTTCTTCAGAATGATGGAGAATGTGTTGTATATGGTTCTATGTAGAAGCTTTTCGAAAATCATTCTATATAGCACCAACAGGGTTCTGCTATTGTTACAAGCTTGAAATCGTAATTGAAACTATGGCAGAACCCTTTTTAGTGCTATATAGAACCATTTTCTATTTCCAAAAGGTTCTGAAAAGAACTGCTATCTTTACTAATGAAGCCTTAAAGAACCATCTTTTTTAACAGTGTAGCTGAATAATGAAAAAGCTTTGTTTGCCTATCAGCAGATGAGGTGTAGCTGTGTGAGAGAGAGAAAGATAGAGAGTGAGAGTGTGACAGAGAGAGAGGGAGCAGAGGCAGTTGTAAAAACATAGCAGGACTCTAGTGTGAAGTAGTGACACCTCAGGTGATGAAGGTTTATTAGAGATAAAGGTGTGAAAAGAAATGTGGATAATTCCTTTACCCACAGAACCTTTCATATCTTTTTCTACTAATCACTGAACTATATATTAAAGCTATATGGAAAAGGAAACTTAGAAAACAAAACCAAAAATTCAAAACTGAAGTGTACACACAAACCTGCAGGTTTATGTGCCTTTTCTTATTGAAAAAGAGCATTATTAATATAAAAAGTGTTATTAATATAAAAGTATGACTTTGGCACTGCTTTTTTAGAGTTATGTACTGTAAACTATAATGGCAGTTTATTACATGGAAAAAGTTCTCGTGCTGAAGAGCTTGTTTTGTTTTTACACCCCAGGTGTAAAACGCTGCACTGATGCTGTTCACGTTTCACAGGATGAGCGGTCAGCTCGAGGTCCCGTGAGGTTCCGTTCATGGCCCATTGAGGATTTAATGGAGAAACAAATATACAGGACTGACACAGCCAGTGCAGTGGCCATAATCACCAAAGCTACCTTGATTAGTTTAAATTTCAATTTGGAATTCTGTAAATGATTAAATTATTCACTGATTGTATGCACAACATGCTATAGTCACTACCATTCCAAAGACTGAAATGAGTTAGTAAATGTCTGATTGCTGCTATTTCATTCAATGGTAAAATACAATGTAGGCTAAATAAAGTAAGTTATTAAATGATAAATAACTGTAATTGTTTGTTTATAGTAATATATAGTGAAGGTAATGACAAGAAACGGACTGTGATTATTTATAGTCATTTAAATAGATGGGAATTTGATCATCAATACTGTAAACAGAGTCACTCAGAGTGGTTTGATGTGAAATGGTTCGCTGTAGAGAAACTTGCTGACTCTGTACAGTAGAATTTAGTAATTCAAGTAATAGTTACCTTCCTCCAGATATGATCATCACTTTCATAACTTCATGCTCAAGTATTGTGGAATCATCTACACCATCACTGCCAACACATATTACATTTCTTAGCCTTTTTATAGCCATCTAATAACAATTTTAAACCTATGAAGTATGTAAAGGAGTGATTTTATACCTTTATCTGCAGCAGAATTGGTGTCTGATTCCAAACTTTTAGGCGGTGGTGTATATTTTATAATGTTTTGTGAGTGGATTGGCCGTTTTGTTGTTGTTACTGAGTCCGGAGAGGCTGATTACAGAAAAGAGGGACACACACAGGTGCAGCTCCAGCTTTCTCTCCAAAATACAGAGGTGTCAAACTCCACACAGCACTGACTCGCTCTCTCACTCCCTCACCCGGCGACCTGAACCCACACACACAGCGAGAGAGAGAGAGAGAGAGAGAGAGAGAGACAGGGTAAGATGAGGGCAAGTATGATGACTTACACAGGTGAACTCTCTACAGTAACACAGCGGGAAAAGCCCAGCTACAGGTCCACATCCACAGGACAGTCAAATCCATTTTTCAGATTTGACTGAAAATATGATTTTTGACTGACCTGTAGCTAAAAAACCTTCCCCCAGTGCTAGATGCCCCCCACACATACATACGTGTGTGTGTGTGTGTATATCGCTTTTATTGTTTGTCACTTTTTGAAAATGTGTGT